GGTATGGGATTTGTGTTGGTGATTGTTTGTTTTACTGCCGTAATCAGCATGTCGTTTTTAGATGGTGTAAAAATATTTATGTAAGCACACACTCCTATGGGTGTATGTGTGTGTGTGTGTGTGCGTGTGTGTGTGTATGTGTATGTGTTTACGAGCGAGCGTGCGTGTGCGTGCACATTACAAGAGCCTTTTTTGATAGACGCCTATTCGTTTTTGCCTGTATGATCGGAGGGTCTTGATTTCCACGACAGCTTTCGATTATTTGAATTTCTACCAAAATTTAGAGCTCGAACCTTTTTTTATAAAAAAAAAAATGTATAAAAAGATATAGCAGATTATTACCAACACCTCACCCCTTAAATACATTTTTCAGTTTAAAAGGAAGACGAATCCACTCTTAATTAGAAAGAATATATATGATTATCAGAATTTAAGTACTCCATTATATTGTAAAAGGTGTTGGCAGAGATCAGTTCACCATGTGATTAGGCCCATAATACGCCATAATGTTATCATTGTGTAGCACAATTTAGTAAAAATAGTTTTTGGATAATATGCGGTTCTCGTCCTATACACTTGCCGATGATAATGAACTGCAAGATAATTGAGATATGCTGCATTCATCCACTCTGCTGCAGCGTCGACTCGCTCACAAGAACGGAACATAGAGAACGTGTTATACCAAAGTGGCTCTGTAGCAAATAACATTACTGATCCTGGAATTACATATGCGATTGGAAGCAACATGAATACGTGGATTATCAAACGTGTTTTTTAACCTTTCACTCCACATGGGTCTTGAAGATATGAGTGAAATTCATTTGAAGTTTGAAGTACAAAGTGTCATAGTCTCAGGCCCAATATAAGCCGACATTTATTCCCCATCCCTCGAATTTTCGATTCTTTTTCTCTAATGCTATTCAAATCGATACTTGAAATTGATGTTGATAACGTTTATTTAGCCAACATACATACAGACAGTTTGACATATACCAATAAAAATAGAATGGCTGAGCCTCCTGAGACCACATACGCTCATAAGGTTATGGTTATTATAGACACTGTGATCATTATGATGTTATAAGAATATTACTGGCAATAAGAAAATTTAAGAAATCAGGGAAAATGGTAAACAGGACAGTAGGTAGGGATAGTAATGACCTTTCATGTCACTCAAAGCAGGGGGAGAAGGTGAGAAAGAATTCATTCGACCATTATTATGATTTTTATAGCTATCCCTAAAATCACCAATACCATTATTGTAATTACCATCACCATTACCATCTTCACTGTTATAATTTACGTGCACAGGTCGAACGCCACCGACAAGGAAAGATGCGACGGAAGGTTGTAAAGAAAGTGCTATCGGTCGAGCAGGCGGAGGGCCGGGGCGCGCGCGTGAGGAGGAGCATCGGGCGGAAGGAGGTGAGTGTGTGAGAGGAAAAAAAAACTCATTGGAAAGCCAGAGTGGAATAAAGGGACAGATGGATTTATAAGGTATAAAGCGACGGGCTGTGCTCCTCGTGTGATGAAGAATTCGATCTTGAGTGCGCGTAGGATGTGAGGTGATGAGGAAGTGTCGGTGTTGAAGGTGAATTGTAAAAGGGAACTGTTTGGTGAATATGTATATTTTTAAAAACATTTATGTCTGTAGGTAGTTTTTTTCTGTGTCCTACACTGGTTGGTAGTCTCTTAACATAAGTAATAACGATCTCTACATCCTTCTTGATCTTCATTTGATCTGCACTTGAAGACGCAGCAGTATATTATAAATTGAATACTATTATATAACAAGGTGCATCATACAGCTTGTAGCTCGAGAAGAATGCACGCAATATTGCAACCTTACACGAAAGCACCGGTGCCGCATGACCAGCGCGCACATGGAATGTCCTCATGAAACTTGCTTACTTGGAATTTATTTATGACGCGCGTGAATTTCCCGTTGTGACCGCGCGGGACCTTTCTCTGGCGCGAACCCGAAGGCAAAGAGGTAATTGGATGTCATGAAGGGAATTAGATTATTATGATAATGATAATGGAGATTATAAGTAATTAAAATAGATATAAAGCAAATTATTTATTATTAAATAACGCAAGAATACAGAGATAAATGATGGAATAATAATAGTAATAATCCGTTTTCTTTGGGAATTGACGACAGTACCAGTTATTACACTTAGAACACTGCAGTAAAGATCGCAAGATTTCGTATAATCAAACATTCCGATTTTTGCTTAGTATGAGAAATGCTAGTGTTACGTCCATTGAGTATATTTTATGGACGTAACCGTGGAGCCATGCTATTTCAGTTGCATCAAATTTTAGGGGCCACTTTTTAAATCCAACTGTGCTGTGTTTTATTTGAAAGTTCCTCCCACAGAATTGATCCTGATGGTACCCATATGCGTATAAATGTGCGTGCCTGATTTTTTCGTAGGCTTAATAATCTTGATTTTATATGCTAAATTAGATTTGATGCGAATATTCAGCGAGCTTA